CAGGGTCAACGCAGCCATCTACCAGGAGATTTTGGAGCACTTCATGCTTCCTTCCGCAGACGAGCTTTATGGGGATGCTGACTTCATTTTCCAGCAGGACTTGGCACCTGCCCACACTGCACAGAGCACCAAAACCTGGTTCAGTGACCGTGGGATTACTGTGCTTGATTGGCCAGCAAACTCGCCTGACCTGAACCCCACAGAGAATCTATGGGGCATTGCCAAGAGAAAGATGAGAGACATGAGACCAAACAATGCAGAAGAGCTGAAGGCTGCTATTGAAGCATCCTGGTCTTCCATAACATCTCAGCAGTGCCACAGGCTGATAACTTCCATTCCACTCCGCATTGAGGCAGTAATTGCTGCAAAAGGGGCCCAAACCAAGTACTGAGTACATATGCATGCTTATGCTTTTCAGAGGTCCGATATTGTTCTATGTACAATCCTTGTTTTATTGATTGCATGTAATATTGTAATTTTCTGAGATTGTGGATGTGGGGTTTTCATGAGCTGTAAGCCATAATCATCACAATTATGACAAATCACGGCTTGAACTATCTTGCTTTGCATGTAATTAGTCTATCTCATGTATTAGTTTCACCTTTTAAATTCCATTACTGAAATAAATGAACTTTTGCACGATATTTTAAATTTTTGAGTTTCACCTGTATTATGATGAGAGGTTAGCAAAATGGAAACAGGGATTCTTGGAAATTGCTTAGACAAGATCAGACTCATGGCTATATCCTATCCATGCTACATATGACCAATACTTTTTACGTAACATTTTTTGGGGGGGCTGGCATTCTGGGTAGTGTATATTTGCATAGAAAGAAAGCTATACTTATATTTTGTTCTGATTGGTATAGCAATAGCACTTAGACTTATATACCACTTTATAGTGCTTTATAGCTCTTTGTAATTTAAATTATTGCATTGATTTCTGATCATTTAATTGGTCTTTCCAACGAAAGTACAGGAGGAATAAAATTCATTAACTGAATTAAAAATGATAAGCCATTAAGTATATTAGCTGAAAATAATGGGAATTATAATCCATTTTCAGAAAGTACTAATTTTGGAAGAACTGATAGAATTTTTCATCTGAACTGATAGAATTATCTGAATTTTGGTCCAGTGTTCCTTGATACCATGTATATATACTGGATTCTGAAGACCCAGCAATTTCTGAAACATACATTTAACATCCGATGGATAATGGAAAAGATACAGGAATTCCAAAAATTATTATTTTTTCTTCATTGATTAAAGAAAGTTTTTTAATTGTGTAAACCACAAGAAATTGGGTAACCTTTAAAAACATGGTTGCAACAGGTTATATGAGAACCACAAAGCAATAGTTAGAACCTATTATAGAGCAACAAATGGGTCAGAATGAGAGAGGAATACATTAAGGTAGTATAACGGCATCTTATGAATTGAATCATAGACAGAAATGGCTATTTGAATTTAACATTGTTGGGAGAAACATCCAAAACTTATAAATACTGATGATATTACTTTATTGGCTGGATGTGAGAAAGATTTAAGATCTACCCCCCAGAAACTTTAGAAATTCATGTATAGCTTTTAGAAATAAACCCCAAAGATCATATTTGGACTGGTTTGATATTTTAACTGCCAACCTAAACAGTTCTTATCAATGGACTTTATCTTTAGTTCAGAAATAGGATTATAAAAAATAAAAACTGGTTTGATAAGATATTTAAAGGCTTAGTATAATGCCTTTTTAATAGAAAGAAAGATGTGACATTGAAGGAGTCTTGGACAAATTAATTCAATCAGGATGAAAAATTCATCCCTTTTTTTGCATATAACTAGAGGACTAGGAAAACCATTCCTTCCTTCAGTTAACCAAATACCAACTCACACTTGGGAGGAAGTAGGGGGTTGTACACAGACCCAGTTTGAGATTTGAATGAGAGTCGGATTAATCTGGGCTAAACTCCTTATTGGCCTCATGTTACAATACTATACAAGCTATATTGGCTTGATCCCTCAAGGTTAAAAGGCTCCCAGTATTCCTTCTGAAATAATTAAAAAGAATTCTAGTTGGTGGGCACCTATCTTAGGATCCCTGAGCAAACGCTGTTTCTTAGTAGCACTGAAAAGGTTACGTAGTTTGGATAATGAAATAGCTGCAAGAAAACAACCCAGCTCAGAGAACATCAAGGTCTCTTCATGAAACTTAAATATTTTGGACACATTTTGTGAAGGCAGGGGAAGGATTCCATAGCAAAATGGAATCTACCAGATTAAAAAAGTATAAGTGACTGAACAACAGTTACAGTCAACTAATTCTCAAATATCTTAATCCATTTTAGGACATTATGCCATTTAGTAAATTTGCTTTTAGTTATTTAGCACAATTTAGTTTATAGTTTATAGTCCTGCTAAATCGAGAGACCCTGGATACGTTACAACACATTAAAGATGTGCAAACAATAATAACGGAACATAATAAATCAAACCTCCCTATTACCTTTCATAGACACTATTTTTAATTAGGGTTGAAGTCTTATTTAGTACTAAAAATGAAACTGAACACTCAAAATCTATGCTTGTTTTCATACGGCATCCGTTAATGCTAGCAGGAGCTTTATGAACAATATATCATAAACCTAATGACTCTTTATCTCCTTTGAAGAAGTTTGAAAGCTTTTTAAAAATTAACCTTAATATTGAATGCTTTGTTCACTGCATAAGACTTTCTATCAAGAGACACTATATTTATCTCCCAGTTTTTCCTCTGTGATGACTAGAGCTGGCAAGCAGGAACCGAAAAGACTGCCATCAACAGCCTGGTTGGAGAAATGGCAAATAAACTATTACAACAAAAGGCCAGAATCTCTCCCTCTCCCCCCTCTCTCCCCAGCCCCAATCCACCCATCACACTAGCCTTCCTGCCTCCCAGTTTTTTCTCTTGGTTGTCACTTTTAAACTTGTGAATGGCAAGAATCCAGGTTATTTGATAGACTGCATCTCCCTGGTGGTATCTGCCCCCTCCACCAAACAGGGTATTGTGGATAGATTCCAGTTCCCTTGCCTAAATACTGATATCTAATGGGACCTAGGATGCACACCCTTTCTGAATTGTGGGAAATTCTCCCTCCAGAGATCTGGCACGTCCCCTACTCTTTTAGCCTTCTGGAAGGACATGACTAGTTCTTTCCCCAGGGATTGGGTTAAGTAAGGTGGGAGCCTCTGGGTGGCTTTGTTTCATGGTTTCCACTTTTCTGTGGCTTTACTGTTGTAAGCTCTCCAGAGTTTTATTATAGATGGATAGCTGTATAAATTAAAAGAAATAAACACACTTATATTTTCTACCACTCCTTACAGTTCTTAGATTCCATAGAAGCCAGTCTTTTTCATTATATTTTATATTGCACAAAACCTCACTTACCTGGCTCTGATCTTGAGATGCCCTGGAAAATTTATTTAAGTTGCCAATATTTAATCCTGGCACATATTTTGTTTGGTTAGAAAATTTATTGCTAGGAAAATGTATTGAAATATGTAAAGCATTATACAGAAATTTAGGCAAGAGCAAAATATATTTTTCAATTTTAATCTCCTGTAATCAATCAAAATATATATTTACATGGTAAATTATGCATTTTATTTATAAAATTTATTGGTATACAGTATATCAAGGTGAATGTAATGAATATATGAAGAAAAGAATGGTATTCCATTTATTAAACAGCATTCTTATTTCTCCACTTTTCAACTTAAAAGCAGGACAGACAATGGAGAGGTTTTTGAAATTCAGCTATGGAATAATGTCTTCTATTCTTCATTCTAACATTTATGTCTTTATGGTATCTATTGCATTTATGGTTTTAATCACTTAGCAAATAATGGACAAACTGGCAGATTAAATTAAGATTAAAAAATATATCTTGAGTGAATAGTTTTGTTTTTCATATCTTTAAAATATGGTATTGTTATCATTAATTTTTTTCTAGATTATCTTATAAGTGTATCTAGTTAAGCTAGAATTCTATTTTGATATGGCTTGTTGGCCTGAGTGTGAATTTTTGTACTTTTGAAAAGCATTGAACCTGAACTATACAATTTTTGCTCCCAGATTTCAATTTTCCAGGGAGATGTTCCACTTCTATTACTATTTTTTGTCAGTTTTTTCCAGCTGTTCCTGAAAATGTATATACAGGTTAAGCAAGTATTTTAATTTACGTTGCCTATGTTGTATATATTTATGCTAATGTTTATTTAAGCACCTTAATTTTTGTATACCCCAAAGGTGGGCTTTGGCCCACCCTTGTTGTACAATGCCACAGGCAACAATTAGTCACCAACAGTTTTGATCAGTTCTCATTGAACTGAATCTGTTGTTTTAGTAGTGGTACAATATATATATATTTTTAAACAATGTCAGGTTATTAACCTGATACCCAACCCTCTTCTTTTCTTTTCCTCTTCCAGGCATAGGACCATCAATAACCAAGTTATATTTTAATATGGTGCATTTATTTATTATTTCCTAGAAAGTACATCATAGGTTGTATTGATGTATAGAATCTTATTTTAAAACTATACATACTCTTTTTTGTATACTTACTTTTTTTAGTAAAATTGTTTTACATTTTTTCCACATCCGTTCTTGGAAAACTCACATAAAAATTGAATTAATATTTCAACTCATTATATTTATGTCATGCATATGTTTTCCCACTACAGCATCACAGTGATCTGATCAAATTCTATATTTTCAAGTATATAATAAGGCAATTAAAGAAGACATAGGACCATTTTCATTATGAAAATACTAGATATATCTTTCTATATTTACTTGCTATATTTAAAAAAAACCTGCACTGTTTCACTGTTCGTTGTTCTGTTTTCTTTACCTAAACATTTGATACAAAGTAATTTTTCTGTATTTTATAATACATTATGATTGTATTTATAATATGTTGCCAGTCATTCATTATTCTCTATTTTGATTTTTCTAACAGCTGGAAATGATGAAAAGATAGGCCAAAGATCTGTGATGAAAATCAAAGAAGAAATTCTGAACGCGAAAGGTAATTTATATGGCCTTTTATACTACATGTATAAATGTTACACATTTCTCAATTTATTTTTCTTTTAAGTTCATTCTACTTTTTATGTACATTTTTTATAATGCACATTGCTGAAAAACTGATTCTTTCCCTTTCGCTGCAACGGATTATGTTTCTAAAGGCGCTGTCCTTCCATTTTGAGTTTTCAAAAGAAAACTTTACTGTCAAAAAATGTACTGCGGTAAAAGGTATCAATGCTAGATTCTGATAATCTAAAGCGAAGTAAATCTTTAGACTTTCATAACAAACAATATATGATAGATTGACATTACATATGAAATGGGATTTCATTTTCATTTTTTTCTTATATAGTTCATTAACATGTTAGCAGTCCTATAAGGCTTAGCCTAGTCATTTCTGGTTAATTTGTAGAAAGAAAACCCGTACCTGTGGCCCTACCAAACTTATTATTAGGCTTATTATATTCTTTACAACATATCCTCCTGGGTGGAGTTCCATTAAACAACTAACACCACTTAACACTAATTGTGTGATGCTAAGCTTTTCCATAACATGACAAACTATGCTCTAAAATACAACAATTGTAGCAGTCATCATGCTTCACCATTGATTTGGTGTACAGAATAGGAATTGTAGTTCAAACAAATTCAGAAGTAATTCTCTTCTAAGGGACATAACATTAAGCTTGAGTAAACCCACTTGAAACAAAGTGCACCTTTGGAAGGTGACTTCCAAAACAATTCTGAAGGTTTTGTTTATACTGTTTTATTTGTATGACTCTTATTTTTTACTCAATCTTATTTTTGTGGCTGTAGAAGCCCACTCTTCCCGTGTTCTGCACAGCTCCTTTCTGCTATATTTATTACTGTTACTATAGCAGTTACAACTGTTCACAATTGGATAATTGCAACAGAATATTGTCTCCTTCCTCTACCCCTGAATTTTATAGTTCAGTACCTCTTTAAATTAAGAAGGAGTGAATTTGCTCCTTGAAGCCCAAGGCAGTGATAGAACAGATGTAAAAGAAATGTATGTAGCAGCGAATAAGAGAAATAATGTGGTAATAGGTGAATTGCATGGCTCATTTGGGATGTTTGCACAGCTCACAGCTTTCCATTACAAAAAGACTAGTAGTTGGTTCATACCTGCTTTTCTGCACATGGCTGTAGAAGCAGAAGAGCACAGATGTAATAAAAACAAATTTGTATAGACTGCTTGTAAAAGCAAATAATGTTTTATTAGTTACCACAATTTCTATATATTTATTGATTTAAAACATTCATATAGTCATCCACCATTCACCAGCTCTGGGCAGCTCCCAAGCAAGAATTAAAAGAGAAATAAAATACATATAAAAACATTTTAAGAATCATAAAATACAACTATTTAAAATCTAAAATATTAAAACAATAACAATTTGGATTCATCCAAGTATCCAGTTTACATTTCTTTTGTTGGGATTCCTTTGAATAATTCTTAAATGAGGATATTTCTGCAACCATGCAGAATAGTGTTAAATTATTCCATAGGTGCATATCTTAGTGGGTTGCAATACTGTCATTCTTGCATTGTGTATTTTTAAAGCAACTTACTTTAATCATAGTACATTCAAAAATGAACGAGAACATCCCTGAATAACCAAAACACTCCATGTTTTGTTTCTGCCCATATGCGTCTATCCTGAAAAAGGAAAACTTTGGAATGTGATGACTTGTTTTAGGTTGAAAACAAATCATTTCCTGTTTTGTGCATGCCCCCAATTGAAAACTGATCCACATGGTCATCTTATCTACAGTGAAGACATTGGGATTTCATTTTCATTGCAGCTGGATGTTAGTAAAAATAGAGAAGGTAGTCAAGACTGAGCAGGCTATATAGCAACATACAGACCAATTATAAGTACTTTGATATTCCATAATCACATGGAACTTGATGAGGCTAGGAAGACCACAACATCCATGTATCATCAAAGAAATAGATTCTGAAAAGGCAGCTCAATGGAAAGAACAAGATCCATGCCATTAACAGCCCTGCCAGTCATCAGACATCCTGCCAGTATACTAACCGGGCCAAAGGAAAACATGTATGGAGTTTTCCACCCCAAGTTGAACATCCAGAGACTTACCCTGCATCAGCCGGAAAGAAAGCAGGCAGGGTCAAACTGTCAAAACCAAGTGTCAAAGTCAGGTCATGGGTATCCAGAGCACTGAAGAATACACAAGTAAGATAACACCCGAAGATAAAAATCAGGTAGACAAAGTTCCACAAGAAACTAAGGCCAGACTTAGCATGGGATATACCATTCACAGCTGAGTTGGCTGACATTGGGAAATCCTTATCAATGGCTAGAAAGAGCTGGACTAAAGGACCACATTGAGTTACTGTTTATAGCAGGACAAAGCACAGGCACTAATCACCAGATCCATTGAAGCAGAGGTATGTCACACTAGACAGCACCTGTGGTGCAAAGAACCCTAGAAACAGTCCAACACAGTGGTAGGATGGGCAGGAACACCCTATACTGAATGACACAATCAAATAACTGGCATTGAGTATAGGTACATCTGCATGGTTAGATTCCCCCAAGTCCAGAAGGAAGATTCCACAGAAAGTGATAGAGCATAGCAGGGCTAAGATTCAGATGGACAGGCAGGTACTAGCTAATCAGCCAAATGTTAATGTAGCAGATAAGTACCAACAGTGATGATAGATGTATAGTATCAAGTGACAGCAACATCAGGAAGAAATAGTATGAGAGACTAGACAATTAATATTATAGTGCCTCTTTCTAAATCACGGGTGTCAAACTTGATCACGTCATGTGATGTATCATGACGTATTGCGATATTTTTTGCCTTTGCTGAGCTGGGGTGAACATGGCCTGCATGATGTATCCAACCCCCAGGCTGTCAGTTTGACACCCCTGTTCTAAGTCATCTTGTCATAAAAGTCTTGGGTTTATTTTTGTTTTCTTTGATTACTTTTCTCAGTGGAGTTCTGAATATTTCTAGCTTTTTATAGTTCAGTTGCAATCATCCTTATTAAAAAATATTCCAGCACAAGGTACAGTATAGGCTAAGATGTAAAACCTATACAGTAATGCATGGGTCTGGATTGACTATTAATGAATTTAAGAAACATTGCATTGATATACATGAAGATGAATGGTCACCAGAAAAATTATGCAAACTGTTCTAATCTTTAATTAAAAATCAACAAAAGAAATGTCATGTAAATATGATCCTTTATAATCTGATTGTAATGAGATTAATCATCTTTAAACTGCTGTTCATTCTTGTTGCCAATAAATTATTGTAACTTTAATTATGAACTATGCAACTGAAATTCTATTTTACTCTAATATAAGTCAACAGAATATGTTTTCAAGCCATCAGATATATAAGCCTAAGTAAGCTAGTTACCTAACGTTTACATGATTGTATTCCAATCAAGCTGTTACAGAAAGACTGATTTTTCTTTCTTAAATTAAGTTAGCTTAGTTCATTATTGGACTACATCTTGGACTGTGTACATCTTGTGTATATTTTTGTGGTGATGTAAACTTAGTCTATTTCTAGGGGCTTGATGATGACTATAGTCTAAACTTACTTTTCTAGGTTTAGATCTTAAACTGAAGTAAAGGTTAAAGTTTCTCTTGACCAGTCTTGTTCAACTCTAGGGGATAGTGCTAATCTCTTTTTCCTAGCCAAGGGACCCAGTGTTGTGCAAAGATGATCCTGTGGGCATGTGGCTGGCATGACAATATGCTGAGGTGCATGGAATGCTGTTTCTTTCCTACTGAAATGGTACCTATTTATCTACATGCATTTACATGCATTTGAACAGCTAGGTTGGCAAGAGCTGGGGCAAGAATGGGAGCTTGGGTCTTGAACTGCCAATCTTCTGATTGAAAAGCCTAACTTCTTAACCAGTAGGCCACCATGTTCCTCTGATAAATACTTTTTCAAACTGGGTATTTTGAAGATGTGTTTGCAAGATTTCTTATTCTAAATTACACTGTCACTTGTAATACAACCATGTTCCCTGGTGCATTTCACTCACTAATTGCAAAAGGAGCTATATTTTTATTAGGAGGGATCATTCTGTCGAGCCTCCCAGGAATCATATTTTCTTTTTCATATACCTGCATTCAGACATGCTTTGGAGTTGGCTTTTTCACTCATCGGAAGAACTCCCTCTAGGTCTGTTTTTTCCTGGAAAAACTCCAGGCATTTTGTTGCTTGCTACTTTCTGGCAAGGAATGCTGGCAAAATGTGTTTCAGCAGCCATGTCTGGAACAGGCTGTTTCAGGACAAAAAGAAAAGATAATTCTGGCTTCAAATCAGAGACAAACATTGTGTGAACAAATAATGTGTAGCAGAAACAATTCATTTTGTTTTCTCAAGAGTTGATACATCCTGCTCATGGCAATAAGGTGTTGAGCTATTTGGCATTTTGGAGAATGGGGCAAGGAATAAAGTTCACAGCAAAAGGAAACAAATGAAAGCTGCAGTAGCATTGCGGATGTGTTGTTGGTTGATATAATTAACATGATGAGGTTTGGTGAGCCTTTAACAGTCCACTGTTTCTTGCTTCTTTGGATTGCAGGAAAGGTCAGGCAAAAGCACCGTGATATATTTTTCAGATTAAATTGTACTTTATTATATTGCTTCATTCATACCTTTTAATCAGGCATGGGGAGGAAAGAGAATTGTGTAAGGTGGATTTATGCTGGTTTATAGGGAAAATCTATTTGTGAATGTGCAGTATCCTATACAAATTAATTTATACCCATATACAGGGTTTGTATTTAACCAACTTAAATTACAAAAGGGTGAGGACAATAATAGCTAATTTCTTATGCTGTCAAGAATTCTATAGATGATGCATTTTCCTGTGTGCTTCATCTTAGCTTGGCACACCTGGAGGAGAAGAATACTCATGTGTGAATGCTGTTTGTTGATCTTAGTTCAGCATTCAACACAATCATTCATCAGCAT